TAAATGAATGAGAATAAATGAATGATAATGAATGGGAATAAATGGATAGACGCATGGATAAACTGGTCAAAATAAGTTGAATAAACAGCAATTTATCTTACTAATATACCAAAAAAATTTTTTTAGCTAACTATAACACTTAATCAAACTAGGTCAACCTTAGATTGACAAATATAATTTGCTTACCTTTCAGCACATAATGCTTCCAGTCGCGACCAAATAACATCTTCCTGTCCAAACACAAACATCCCCAGCCTACCCCCAGTGATTTTAGTGTTGAAGATRTCACCAGAATCGGTTAGWATCTTTTCACCTTGGTAGAGTTGAATTCTGGGAAGATAGAAAGTTAGAAATCTTGTTTTCATAACAAGAAGCTGGAATCATACATAGATAGAAAAGTACCTTATRATACCGACTGATGGGCGGTGTTTCACGTGGAATTGGTAGGGAGTCTTGTGCTTCCAACCCTCCATCTTAGGGTCGGACCACAGGACAGTTACCTAAATGGAAACATATTCGAATACGTAGTCAAAAGATAGAGAAACGAGCTAGAAAGAGACAGGCAGACGGATAGACAGTCTACCTTATCTGCGGTATTAGCAGAGTGCCATAATGCCTTGGCGAGTTCAGCCCCAGGTCCCACGTCAGAGTCCACAAGCTGAAAAACAAATAAGTGACATTGCAAAGATGACACTACTTTCTACAACACGAGATTTGATCAGAATTATTACATTGGGGGTCAGTAAAATAGATAACAGCACTTTTTCTTCAATGTTAGATACACTGAGGGAGGGGTGGGTGTGTTGATTTGATCGAGTAATTAAGTCACCTTGAGCTGTAATCCTTTAATACCAACATTATTATCGCCCTGAGCAAAGTTGATATTTTCCTTTCTCCACATTGCGACGTAAAACTTCTGATTTGTCTGGTAGCCAAACACTACTCCAATATAATCTGAGCCAGACGATGACTGTACGTACATTGTGCCCTTGTAGTCGACAGGACCATACCTTATTTCACCTATATGGAAAAATCTTATTGAAAAGCAGCCGAACACCCGAAGTATGTCCGAATAACATCCGAATGTTGTCCGACTGTAAACGAACACACGTTGAACTTACCGATAAGCATTCCGGGATGTGACGTGTTTGATACGTGCTCAACATCAACTCCCTGGCGATCATATCAATGGACGAATCAATCAATCGATCAAACAAACAATGAATGAATGAATCTATCTATAAGTCAAGTCAGTCAGTCAATAAATCAATCTGTCATTCACTGAAATAACCAATAAATCAAATAAGCAATCAATCGATCAATCAATTAATCAGCAATGCAACAAACGCTTCTTGCGGCAAAATCCCTGACCTTCTTAGCAACTCTCCATTCTGGATCAGGGTGAGCGTGGCCTGGGTACAAGTCTACCGTGAAGTAGTCCAAGAAACTTGTTTTGCTAATGTGCTTGACACGTGGGCATGCGTCGTCATCATCGTTGACTCCATCACCATCAAAATCCAACATACATGCGTCGCCTACAGCTCGAGCTGTTTAATGCAAGATAGAATGAAAAAAGGGTTTATTAAAATAGTAGACTCTACATGCAGGTTATAGCCACGTTATCATTCATTTTCAGTTAGTATAGTTTCTASTATACATACTTTTCGCGTCGTATGTTC